CGCCCCCCCCCCCCGACAGCAGCCTTCGCAGGTTTTTTGTATTCGGGGAACATGTTGGATAAAGCATTAGGGTTAGGGTTAGGGAATAGGGTCTGCGCACCCCGTCCTTGATCTATTTCCTAATAATACTCAACGTCCCGCGAAGCCGGTCCCCGCCTGGCCCACACCCACCAGTCCGAGCGCGATCCCCATGGTGTCGCAGACGACGGTCGTCATCAGCCCGTCGGGGCGGTCTGTTCGAAGGCACGCCAGGAACGCGCTCACCGCATCCACCCCGGCCCCCGCCCCTGCCCCTTCCCCTCCCCCTGCCCCCCCCCCGCCCTCGCCCTCCAGCGACAGCGTAGCGGGGCACTGCACGTCCACGCCGTACTCGTGGTGGAGCTTCCCGATCCCTTCTGGCGACCACCCGGTGTTGCCGCTGCTGCTGTTTTTGTTGTCGTCGCCGGTGGTGGTAGTGGGGGGGGCAGGCGCCGGGCTGCGCGTAAATACCACCTCCATGTATCCCGGGGCCCCCTCCTTTCCCCGGACGCCGCCGAGCTCCTTCAGGACCTGCCATATGGGCGACAAGGAAAACAGCAGCAGCAGCAGCAGGAATAGTTGAAGCGGTGCCTGATGCAACCGTCCGTGCATTTCACACAAGAAACGCAGTATGTGCGCCTGTCACTACAGATTGGTTCTGTAGGCTGGACATCAATGTCTAGGTTGCCAGTGACGTCAAACCGACTCGTATGTACAACCCCTCCCGTCAATCTGACCTCTACCGGCAAAGCGACCGTCATATAGAGCAAGGAGGAGGACACTCCCCGAAAGTTTCCGAGGCCGATTGCGAAAGCCGGAGGGGCGAACTGCCTCCCCTTGGACTATCCAGGGGGAGTTCTTGGACTACAGAACGCTCCACCGCTTCACAGCTGAGAAGTTGAGCCATCAAACATCCAAAACCTAAGAACTTGGTCATAACAACAGGTGCTCCGTCAAAAAGCTGAACCCTACACCAAGACCAATATGGTCGCCGCGGGGGGTAGGTACCCCACAGACAGACTCCGAAACGAGCCACGGCCAAAATTTGGTGATGGCGTGTTCTTTATCCAAGGAGTATACATCGTTTCGCCGTACTCTCCCCTACGGAACGACCACTCTTGACGTACGTAGCATCCAACGAGGATATCACTTCCCTCCCCTACCTTTCGGAAACACTCTGTGACGCACCTGAGGAGCCACGGCGTAGACACCCTCGAAGTCCACCTGGACGCAGCTGACGACCGGCCTCAGGCCGTCCATTACCGCCCGGAGGGACTCCCCTAGCCCACCCCCCCCGGCATCCATCCGGAGGTCCCGCGCGCGGAAAGAGGCCACGAGCCGGTGCCGCGACGCCGGGAGCTGCGTTGACCAATCAGCGAGGCCTTGCACGGCGCCCGGGTCGGACACGTCGAGGGCGACGATCACGCGGCGTGCTCCCGAGTCTAGCCAGGCCACGACGGCGTCGGTCTGTTCTTTTTTTTTCGCAAAAAAAAAATATCGCGCGGGAGAAAGGGGAGACCGGTGGTGTCGTGAACATTATTTTTGGCTCTGGTTTGGAGCCCCTCGGTTACGTGGTATCTTTACCACGTATGTAGGCGTATGCTTCTTTTTTTTTTCGCAAAACAAAAGCGCGCGGGAGAGGGCAAACAGGTGGTGTCGTGACACAAACCGTCTTGGTTCTGGTTTCGGTCTCCTCGTGTCACCGCGCATGTAGTATGTAGGCGTGCATCTCTGAGGCTTTGGACGAGCCACCCAGGTGTGTTTGTTAGGCCGTGTCCAACCACTGGTGAAGGCGTCATCAAAGCCATCCACGAGTTTGGAGCGGGTTTCGGTGTACAGTGTGCAGTCCTCCGGTCGTGTGTGGCGTGTGGTCGAAAGGGTTTGCGACGACAGACTTGTGCGGTAGGTTGCGTAAGATATCACCTCCCCTGGACCGATTTTCAAAGCTCTATTACTCGGCAGGAATAGCAGAGATGGTGCCGAAAACGGCGGAGTTGGAACACATACCGTTTGCCTTCGGCATTCTCTTGGTCGAGGAGTAATTGAGCTTTGAAAATCGGTCCGGCGGGTGTGGTATCTTACGTAACCTACGGTATATGTTGTATCCGACCACCTTGCCGAGGCGGGGTGGGCGTCGGTATCATACGATGACGACAAATTTTCATAGCTTGGGGAGAAGATAGGAGGGCCGCTGTCAGGCACGTGCGACAAGGGCGCGTGAACGGGGTGCTCTCTGTTGGCTCCACACACTGATTGCGGCGCCCAAGCAAAACGAGATACACAAGAGCAGCGGAGGGGACAGCAGAAAACGGCCGAGAAAATACCAATAGACTGCTGCTGTAAATAGCATGCGTGGATGTGCGCTCACTTGGAATGGGTACGCGCTCACGTGGAAAACACACAAGCGAGTACAATTGTACGCATACTTGCATCTATGCTTCAAGCTACCGTAAGAGATTGCGAGTCATCACACCCACCCTCGTGCGGTCTTTCGCCATTTCTTTTCATCGCACAGGGGTGAGATGACTCCGGACCCTGTGCGGAGACAAAATTAAATCAATCGGCTTTTTTTAATACTTAACGCACACCCCTTCGCGATAACTCCGGTGTGTGCGGTACTTGAATAAATGTTTGCGGACGTACGGATACCGCGGTTGAATAAATGCAGCGTAGTCCTCGGTACCAGCTTTTTTGACGGACACAAAACGGGACGGTATGCAAAATGACGGTGAATTTTTGGCGGTTTGACGGTACTTCGTTTTTTTGACGGTACCACTTTTGGCGGGTCACGGTTTTGCGAAATATGACGGTATTCCCGCGGAGTACCGGGACCGACCTACACGACGGGAGGAAAACGTCGGAAATTTTCCCGAGGACTACCCTGAAATAAATGTTTGCAGGCTCGACACGCAACGTACGCACACAAACACACATCTTAACCTCCCCCATGCCGCCCCCTCACGGGGTCCCAGTGAATGGCATTCCGTTAATGGCATTTAGAAGTGTCTTGTGTTTTCAACCGCACTGAGACTGACGTCTTTTCATTGGTCAGCCGGTTGGCGCGGTCGATGCAAATAATAAAACACACACACACACATCACTAGCGCGGTGGCTGCCTTTGAGAAAACACACATCCATGCCGTGTAGAAAAAATACACAAGAGACAGGCTATGCATCTGTTCGAGATAAAACCACAATCGAAGGGATGCGTTGAAGTCTATACAGAGTAAATGGAATAACACCGGCTGCGTTAATTGTACTGGGCATATGTTGAGTCTAGACTGCAGCTGCACTCAAAATTACTCTTACCATGTGCGTATGTGTTGTGTGTTTCTTTCAGGGTGCCACCACCAGCTCACCCGACGAACCAACTACCCAACACCTTCCTTCTACACCTGCCTAGCGTAACATACAGAGATATGCACCAAGATGGCCACCAAACTGTCTTGTTGGGCCTGTATCCCTCAGGAGAGATATGTATCGCTGTGTGCTGCTAGGGAAATCGTGGAAATACACAACCTTCGCTGACGCTCGCTATGGATTTAGTGCTCATTTATCTTTTAGACTCTTTTCTATAGATCGAGATGAATTCGATGGGTCATACTGATACGAAAAAAAAAACTCCGGGACTCTGGGTTAACCGTTGTTGTTGTTGTCTTCACATTCAAAAAACGTTCCGGTCTCCGCTCATTACCTCCTAATGTCCGGTATGCGGCGAAATGAAAAACGCGGCGATACTAAATAATAAAATCCCGTCTTCCCGGCATCCCGGCCACACGTACGCGGCGGAAAACGAAAATTCGAAAATTCCGAACTTTCGAATTTTCCCCCCAAGATAGAATACATGCATACACGCATACACACAGACAGTCATCTGGCGGTCACGTCAGACGGTAGTTGTCTTGTCTTGTCTTGTTTTGTCTTGTCTTGTCGTGTGGCTGCGTTTTCTTCCTCATGTTTCGGTTGAGTCGACAAAGTTCACCGATTCGATGTGAGAGACGGACACAAGAGTCAACGGAACGGTCATGTTTGTCACAAATTGTTTTTTGCGTTGGTCAATTTGCGTCTCCTCCGCATAACTGCAAAGTGGTTTGCGACGGTGCCATATTCTCTTACAGCAGTGGAGCTACACAATCATAGGCCAGCACCGGCATGGTTACAGGGGTTAAGGTTGTCCCGGAATCTTTGGCGCCAAACTACAACTACTTGCGAGCCACCATACCCCCTGTGCGACAACTCCAGACTCCAGTTCACCCTGTGGTGAAATTAAAATTGCGCGATGAATCACTCTGGACTCCGTATAGCAGTGCTTTGAGCAGCTTTGACTCGAAGTGTGCATATATTTAGACAAAACCTGCCGTACCTTTCGATATCTCCTTGAAACCTCTCAACTTCTACACGTTCCACTATGGTACACAGCACTGCATATCCATATGCATACATGGAGCAGCAAGTAACATTGCGAGCTCATCGACGCTGGAGATGATGCCAGTTTCTTCAAAACAGAGCAGCAACTGAAATGAACCTCACGCGCTTGCCTTCGCGTCCCTGTCTGCTGCGAGCACGTCGAACGGCCCCACGCGGCAGGCGAACTCGCCCAGGAAGGCCTTGAAGCCAGCCACCATCGCTACCCCTCCTCCACTAGGTAGCTGGATGACCAGCTCTGATAGGGCCGCGAGTCGGGTGGTAAGGGCATCGGCTCGAGGGGGCGATTGGCCGTCGTTGACGATGACGGGCAGGATCATGTTTCCACCAGGCTACAGCAGGCTACTGCCAACAATCAGCCGAGTGCAACAGCAGTCAGCACGGAAGACAAGTACACAGGAAGGGAAGGAATACACAGGAGACGATATCGGCACACGCAACGAGGACAGCAGGTGATGCTATTGTCTGTGCGTCGTGTGGTGTGATACGAGAAAGGACCCCAGACCAGCAGGACAGCAACAAGTCTCACCATGCATAACCGTACCCCGACAGACGCACCCTACCCGCTTTTTCACGATATGATATACGGTGCCCCTCTCGACGTCGACCTGCGTCGACGCTGTACCGGTATACACACGGAACAAGGACCATCACCTGTCAAGCCTGTGGACCCACACGGGAAGGACAGCAGTAGCTAGGACAAGTTGAGGGCGCAGGAGGGAGAAGGAGAGCCGGGTGGTGGCTGCAGCACGCTAGGCTCAGCAAACAAAGGAGCACACGGCAGAAACTTGGAGCTTCTCCAGCGGAATTTTACTTGACTTTCGGACTAAAACGGGCGGCCTGCCTACAATCACCATATCCCCCATCTCCTCCCCCGCCTTCAAGGCGAAAAACCCCATACTTGAATCACGGGCCTCGTCCATCGAACGCGGGTGCTGCATATTACAGGTGCGTCGGTGCAAGCTCACGATAGTACGTCCGACAGAGGGATGAGCCACACAAGGGAAACCTACGTAGTGTGTGAAGTATCCGGTGGGACAACTTTTAGCCGAGCAGACAGTATTGACCGAGGACAGGATACCTACCACATGCACACCCGACCAGCTGTAAGCGGTAGGCACCGGCAAATATGCCAACAAAATATCTACGCTGTAATGCGGTAAAGAGAGGATTCGACGGTAGGGGCTCGTTGCAGAAGAAGGATGTCCTGGACCGGCTTTGGTAAACGGGGTCGACCGTCGGCAGGTGCATCAAAAACGTTGAACTGCTGTCGGAGATGCGATGCGTCCTTTCCCGTCTCCCCCGGTACAAGAGGATAGATCCGGTTTCTTTTTCTCTCGTTTAGACGCATGACACCAGAACCATCGTAAGCCTCATTACAACCCGGAACACTTGCCTGCTAAGAGGTATATCTGTATCTATGCGCGACAATGGATTGCAAGCGTTGAGCATACGCAACAAATGTCGCATGTGCATCCCGTTGCATGTGTGTCCAGGCACGCCTTCGGTGTCGAACAAGGACGGCCCTGGAGATCGAAAGAAACGTCAAAATATCAAGATCGGGTCGAGGTTTCAGTTTCTTTATTTCGTCGCCTCTGCTTTCGAGTACAGGTCGCTATTACATGGTTCCAGTACAGTTTAGTATAATGTACGTACTTTCGATGCACCACTGAGCTGAGTTTGTCAACTCAATTTTCTTATTTTCGCGAAAGTTTGAGCCTCTGTTTGATACCGAAATATACTGCTTCGAAGCACAAGATAACCCAGGTGGAGGCCAGCCGGGCTATCACGGGGAGTTTGATTGATGGGAAAGCTCAAGGGAAGACTTAGGCCCAGGCCCATTCTGCGCGCAGAAAAAAAAGCAGATTTGGCCATAAGTAGCAGAGGCAGAAGCAGGTCCAATTTCAACATCTGCTCGAGCAGAAATTGCAATGAACGAGCAGAACAACCTGTTCCTGGAGCAGAACAAGCAAGAAGATGAGCAGATATATGCCGAAATCCCACTGTACTACCACCAATTAGGCGCCAATATGTGCCGGGGATGTCTACAAAGGGGAATAATTGGGCCTTGAGCCACTTAGAAGCCCTCGGTGGTACGCGACGGGGTCGATAAGGCAAAGAGCCGATATCGACAAAGCAAAGGAGGAAAAAGCATATTTGGCCCAAACAGGCATAAGTGAGAGCATTACCAAGGGAAAATTGCACAATTGGCCGTTGACGGAACAACAAGCATTAAGTGAGGGCAGATCTACCGAAAAGTAGCAGACAAGGGCGAAATCAGCGCAAAATAACGAGCATCATTGAGGGCATGACGGCCGAAAAGGAGCAGAACCAACGAGCAGATTGGACTTTTGAAGCAGATGTTCGCCGGCAAAAAGCAGCCAAAAAAAAAAATAAGGGGGCAGATTGGGCCTGGGCCTAAGAGAAGAAACCCTGTATCCAGCAGAAAAGATCTCCATCCCCTACCTGTACCTCTGGTACGTACATAGAATGCTACAAGTACAATTCTCGAACGGGTTAATAGTCTTTCAGTGATCATCTTGTATGAGACGGGGGTCTCCAGGCTCGCGATGCTGCGGCTCGAGTTCCTGTGGTGTGGAAGACACGCACCAGGCTCAACCCCTCCCGCGAGAGATTGAAGAGATGTACGGTAAAGGGTTGTAAGGGGCGGCAGCAGCAGCAGCGGGCCCGCTATACTTTTTGGAAAAAATACGATCAAGGAAAGACTGCCCGTTCAAGATGAAACACAGCAGTGGTTGAGGGGGATGTGCTTCAAGTCTTCATTTACAGTAGAAAACTTGCACATACGCGGGTTCAGCGTGTCCATCTCTGATTCTGACGTCTGTGGCAACAGTCCGAAGAGGAGATCTCCGACACGTCATCTGACGTCACAATCTTGCTGGAAAGTCTCGAGGTACATCCACACGTGCAAAGACGAAGATCATGTGCATGCTGCCAAAAGGGATCGAGGAACGCCCGTTCACGGTCAGCGCCGCCGGCCAGACGTACAAGCAGACTATCTGTTTGTGTACCTCGGACGTACCATCTCCGCGGACGGGAAGGCCGACCGGGAGATCACGAACCGCAACTGCCGAGCGTGGAAGTGCTACCGCCGGAACAGTGCTTCGATGTACGACAGGCGACGGGCCAACCGCCAGCTCAAGATCCGACTACTCCAGGCTGA